TATTCACTATTTATGGGGCTTTTTAGTTTACCAGTAATTTCCGGCGTGCTATTTTATGGTGACGTTTAACCATCAAACCGAAATATGCTTCGTTGTGCCTGAGTTACAGTGGTATTGAAATAGAAAGGGTAAAAAGAGTCATGGAGGTCCAACCAAGAAGTGGTAATTCCAAATAGGAATGTCAACGTTGTGGTAGGCGAGGGTTGGTAATAAAAACCTCAGTACTATGCGTACTAGTATAAAATATATAGGTCAAAAACTTCTTATGAAGTTGTAAAAATCTAGAGATGTATGGGTAGAAATACCGGGATCTTTGCGGAAAAGCGACCATGCGATCTCCTCATTTACAATGGATTGATGATTATAGTTCTGCTTTTATTATCATTAGAACAAAATGTTTGTTGTTTTAGAACAAATCTCGTGCAATTTTTCCATATTTCACAATGCTGATTATCAAAGGACGTAAATTTTAGGATTGGAAGAAGATGGCGTTGATGTGGCATTCGCCAGAAATCTTCCTTCTAATAAGGTGAAAGTTTGTTTTTGCTTGCGAATTCGAAAGGAACTTATGCCGTTTTTTAGCGTTTTGTATTTTTTTTTTTACTGGTTTCTCTTTCTTTCGTTTATCCGTCTTGCAAATTAGTTACATGACTGTTGTTCAGAACATGACGGTTAGGGGGCTGTACTGGATGATTCCCACTTGTATCGGCACGCAAAGTTCGGCCTGTGTTTACAGCTAAGGGATGAAACACAAACTGTATCATAAGATGTCTTCTAATACTTAAATCCAATCCTTCTGTTCTACTTTTAATTTACTTTCTGAGGCATTTGGAGCATGAATTTGGCTGCTCAGACATTTCCGCTGTCGTCAACTTTTTTTCTAGGCAACTTTTTTCGAAGGTAATAATTGTCAGCAAACTTACTAATTGGTATTTGCTGATCTTGTGTATTACGTAAGCAATTCAGGCTACTTCTGAATGTCTCGGCTTCTCATGCAAACTACGCAAGCTCAAGTTTTCCCATTATCATCCCTTCACTGTGACCGTTTCCCGCAAATAGTGCTTAGGAATTGGAATTTTTAAAATTACCACACGTTTGTTACGACGAAAATTTCACTTTCGTTTTTATGCAACATGTTTGGTTTATCTATCGAAATCTGGTAGAAACAGAGTGATTTTTTTTAAAGGATTTATCATCGGTGCAAGCAGAGCAGCAGAATGCAGCAAGTCGTCTGGCCGGAACCGAACTGCTCACGGAATTGGGAATTATTGAGGACCATGATGATGTGAGTGGCATAGAACGAATTCTGATTTTGATTATAAAAGTCAGATTTTGGCTTATCAGCAACAGATTCTTCGTTTCCCCTTCGAAATATTACAAGATTTTATGGCTTAAGCCTCCCAGATGCTGTTTTAGTCTGCTGGCGAAGGCACAAGTTCGAATATGGCAAATCCAGTCCGGACAAAATGGTCCTCGTCGCATGGTATGGTACAGTGCTCGGAATGTTCCCGTACATTTCTTAATATTACCAGGTAAGAAAACGTATGCCAGTTTTGGTGAAAATGAAGAAAGCGAAACTTAATTTTGGCTTTGGAACTTAAAATCACCCCCTAATCTTGTATGCCAGTTTTTTTTTTTTATCTTTTTCATGAATTTTTTAATAAATTAGTGTCAAGGTTCACTTTTTCTGCGTTCCGCTGTTTTCATTTCTATGCAAGTACAGTATTTTCTTCTTTTTTTTTTTTGGTAAATTTAGCATCTGTTCAGTCGAAATTTCTGATAAGTTTTGTGGAATTTTGTGTCTTTATGAAATTTTGAAATTTTGTATGAGTAAAATTTGTTTTGTTGAGACCTCGATAATCTTTGACCATGGTCTTCGGATGTTCTAGGGAGATCTCTATTATAGGTTGTTGTGCAGAATTTTCTGAAATGTTCTTTGTAACTGCATGTAGATTGGGTTGCCTCGTTTAGTGTTTTTTATTCTAGAATATTCATTGTGCTCTACTTCCTGTATAAATACCCTGCTTTTGTTTGTTTGTGGTTCGTTGGTTAATATTGTGTTGTGGATAAACCAACTTATCCTTCTGCGTCACTCCAACTACCCTGTATTCGTCTTCGTCAATTCAACTCTCGGACCGAACATGTTTCATTCAAATTTTTCCGCTTTTTAGACCGTCCAATTAAGGCGTGACAAGTCTTTCTGCGTATTTCGCTTTTTTTTTTTAAAATTTGTTTCGGCTTAGGTAATCAGTTTACTGATAAAGTCCTTGAACATTTAGGGCTGACAAAAAATCGTTTTTTACTAGACACTTTTCCATTCATACGTAACGTTCGCTTGTTCATTTAAGGTTAGAGAAGCATATTGCCGGTGTTCATCAGACAACTGGAGCGCATCCATGTTTGCTTTGTGGCAGCCGTTTTAAGAATGAATTAATCCTCCTCAATCATTACCGCTATATGTGCCCTTACACAAGATCATACATTGATGAAGAAAAGAGGGAACAGGTAAGCAAAGCCTTTTGTTTTTAAACCCCGATTGACTATATTTTGTGTTTTTATGAATTTTAAAGCCCTCATACAATGCTTTTGCTCTTTGATCTTCTATTACCGGTGATGTATTTTTATAAGAAATAAGTATCCTTTCATTGTTTAAAAGATCTGAGGAACGGCCGCACAGTGTGTTTAGTCTCTGGCTTTCATAAGCTTATCACTAGGATTATCACTAACCAACTAACAAGACTTCTCGATGAGCAGTAATTATTTGGGAGCAAGCTGGATTTCGAAGTAATTACAG